CGTAAATGCTGATATTTAATAAACTGCAGTCGCTAGCGGCACAGCACTCAGTAAGGTAATATCAGTCTGTCTGTCAACACACCAGTTTAATTCAGACTGAAATATCTCAGAAGCTATTAATTGAATTGCCAAGAAGTTTTGTAAAGACGTTCGTGTTCTCCAGAGGATGGATCCTATCGATCATCTTCAGATAGTGAAGTATTTGTGTTTTAAATATTCATGATTCCATGTTTGGTCATAGAGCCTGTGAGTTGAACTTGAACTCCAGAAGCACGTTTATAACATGTCTACATCGGCCTCTGGACTGGGAACCGGTGAACGTTTGTGTCTTAGAAAACACTTAGAGAAAATGAAAGCAGCAGGTGCAGTGAGTTTTGTGAGTAAAGAGTGAGAAGTGTGTTTTGAGAATTTTAAAATGGACCCTGGTATTGTTCTGGAATGATTAGTATTCAAAGCAGCTGCTTATTTTTAGTCTCCAGAATCTGTGCAGAGGAGGAAGAAACCTCTCTCGTACGTTTACTGCCTGAACGATGGTGAATCTTAATGAACTGTTTAACAGCAGAGACACAAGAGTGAAGTTGGTTCAATATACTTTTGTCTCCGTGGGAATGAATGTGATGAAACTTTACTTTTGGCTCCTTTCACTTTGTTTGGTTTGTCCTGTGTTACTTAACTTTGTATCACCCCAGGTTGTGTTAATAGTGTCAGTAATGGAGGCTGCTGTTGGTTGAACATTAACACAAGTGTAAGTTGATAAAAAAACAGTTATTGACTCAACTGTAAAACTCAACATTGCACAATGAAAACAAAGTGAAGTGAGTTTGAAGGCTGAGAATCACAGTCAGACTTTTCACCCAGTATAAACAATGAGATCATGATACAAACCCAGTTCACGACAGTCATACAACCATGAGCACTGCATTATAGAATGAAGAGGAGATACTGAGGTGCCGTCACTTTTACAAAATCTCTCTACAAACTAACTCTAATTTTCAGTATTGATTTTAAAACCAGAAACCTGTATTCTATACAAACAACCATACCCGGTGCCTGTATATCAATAACATACTGTGTTGTTACTGGTATAGATAAGGTATCACAAGATTACATGTTGCATTAGTGCCAAAACAAATGGATTAGTCAATCATCAGAGAGTCGATCACCAGATATTGTGATTAATAAAAAAATAAGTCTGTCTTTTGAGTATTTGAAAAACTGTTTGTTGAGGTTTTGTATTTAGTGCTTTTCACAATTTTCTTGCATTTTTAAAAGAAAAATAATGATGATTGAAATAATAAACAGCAATAAACAATAACACTCAGCATAATTATAAGTTATAAGCCATATTAGATTTTTTAGTCCCATTTGCGTTTTGCAGTTCTATAGACTCCACCGTGGTATTGTGTGTTCCCAGGTTTTGTTTATGTAAGTACATTATTTGCTTTGTGGTCGTGCGACTCCCCGTATCAGAGCGGCTTGTTATTACCTGGTAATGTTGGTTAGATATCAAACAGTGATTTCACTTTCATCTTTATAGAGATTAAAATGTATTTTTATTTACATAAATGTAAATGTGCTTTCTCATGACTTAGGGTTAGGGGTTAGTGTTAGTGTACGTGTGACTGTGCATTTGTTTGGTTGCGGTTTCTTTGTGTGTTGATTTCTCTCTCATGTCAGGAAGTAGAGTGAGCGCAGAGGGAAGCAAACTGAGGGAAGATGTGTCAACAGTTCCTGTTCAACACTTCCCTCATCGCAGGGAAAGTTTGTGTCACAGAGAGAGTGTGTTGCTCTCCAAACGCTGAGAGAAGCATTTCAGACAGAAGAAAACCATGTCACTTTTGATATTGAAGCGATACACTCAGAAAATGTGAGAAATAGGAATTATGTCAGGATGAGAATCCTGAGATGACATAGTGCAGGTATCATGGTGCATATAATAAAAGAGAGGACTGTATTTTTAGAGCCCTCCTACAAATGCACTTTCACAAAACTCAATCTGAAGCATTAGCACAAAGAGAGGAACTAAAAGTGCAGTATAGAGTACCTCCATCAAAGCCCCCTTATGAAACCACGTCACTACATCTGGATTTTTATTTGAATCTGCATCAAATTGCACACACTCGTAAATATCAGTGCGTGTCAGTGAGCGTCTGAGAAGACGCATAAAAATGTTGACCTCAGACTAAGGCCAAGCCTGCCTGAAACAACTATGTACTTATGTTCTTGTAAATTAGAGAACACAGATTTGTGTTTATCGTTTTGTTGTAGCCACGAGCTTCAGCTGATTGTATGTGGAGGAGTCACGATGTCAGTCTGTAATTTACAGAGCGTCCCCCGAATGTTCTCTGGTTTTAATTTGCCCAGTGTTTCTGCAGCTGTGACGTTACAGGGAGAACTTATTCACACATTTGTCGTTGCTGTTGGCAAGTAACACAAGTGGCACACAGCAGGGACACACACACACACACACACACACACACTTGATAAGCAGTGGTTCTCCTCATGGCTTGTGTGTGTTCAGCAGATTCCACAAATTTCAGACCCGCGTGGAGATTCTTCAGCCCTCCTGTCCTCTACAGAAACAGACCCTCCTCTGTTGTCGCTGCCAGAGCCTCCCTCACCCTCTCTCCCAGCACAGGGACGCCTAACAGCAGCCAGAGCGACAAAATCACCTCGTAATTATTTTTTGTGTTGAGCACGTAGACTGTATATAAAGATGGATGACGTGACTACTCCCCAAAAGTGAAGCTAAAAGCTGAGTCTCAATCCAAGGGTTGGACCCAGTCCATGTAGATGATGTGGAAATGAGACACGCGGTCTTATTATTGCATTACCAGCTTGTCTTGCTGTGGTGCCGTAACCCCCAGATAGAGGTGGAGGATTCTATTTGGCACTGACAACTTAAATAAAAGCAATACTGAAGAAGCAGGAGTAGGTGAAAACAATTTGCATAAAGGGACTACAACAAATACAACAAAACTAAATCATACTAGAGAAAGAAAAAGAACGCAGAACAATCTGCAGCCTCCCCACAAGCTCCCAACTCCTCTCTCCCTCCCTTCCTTCCTTCACTACTGACTGGCATTTTTGCTTTATAGCCTCACCTACCTGGACCCTACCACCTGTGCTGGTAAGTATGAGGAGAGCTAAACAGAAAGACAAACAGAAACCACACTCAAGGCAAAACCAAGTTTGGACTCTGGGTTACTGCTGACCTCACAATTCAATCCATCTGCACAAATACAGAAGATAAATGCAATAGGTTGATTCAAATTGAATCCAATGCAACACACTTCACCTGTTCTCTGTCACTTTGAGTCTGCCCGGCTCCTCCTGTCTCAGAGACCTGATCATGCAAACCTGTTGTCACTCTCCCTGATTGACCTGCTGCTCTTCGTACCTGCAAACCAACAGTCAAACATAACTAAATAAATACTTGATATAAAAACGACACAACACACAACTCCCAAAAAAATGATCTACATAATCTAATCGATAATCAAAATTAAAATAATAACCAAATGACCAGATGGTTCAGTGTGTAGAATTTAGTGATTTCTAGAGGTTGCAGCTGAATACTCCTCATCTCACCCTCCCCTTCCCAACATGAAGGAGAACCTGTGGTGAACTTTGTTGTCATGAAAACTCAAAAGGTTTTAGTTTGTCCAGTTTGGACGACAGTGCAAACGGCCTCACCTAAATCTTACACACTGAACCTTCACCGTTGAGTACTTACATATAAAAGTAAATTATTCTAATGTTTTCGCCTCGCTTGCTGCAGCCATCACTTTCATAAAAAATAGTTTGACATAAAAGTGACTCCTGGGATGTGTTGGGATGGGAAGGAACCAACCAGTGGACCCTCCGGTGCTCGGAGGGGGATGGATTTTATCGGCTGCATTTCGAGCCTTCGAGTTGGGGTTAGTCTAGTTGCGCCACTTTGACGCAATCAATCTTAAAATGAAGCCTCCGAAAGGATTGAGGAAGAAGTTCTTGGTGGACCTGGCAAGGGTGGGCGGGGTGTTAGCTCAGAACAATGGACTTGCATAATACCCTGGAGTGACCATCAGTCAATGCTGGTGTCAGGTTGTGTATGAGAGAAAATGTTGAGTCAGACAGCCTCGGTTATTATAACGTCCACAGTTTATTTATGTCTTGAAGTGGCTCCTGCCAGTGTTTGTCATGTAGAAAGTGACTCACTCATGCTTATTTATCAACTTTTATTGTCTTCTAAGTCTTCAGTTGACAGAGGGCGGGCGAGCAGCCGCTCTGATGTCGAGGGAGCGTCAGGTCGGCCACGCTGACAAAGATTATCGTGACCAGCCAAGCCTCCCATTCTCTCCTGTATGTCGATGTGTCCACCGTGTTTCCACCTCTTTGATGACAAAGCCACCGAGGCTCCATCTGCTAAATAAAGCAGCTGCTTCATCCACGCTGCGGAAGGGAGGTTCTGGGATCGAGCTGGAGTTTTTTCCTGGATGACAATACGGCTCTTACTCTTCCTGCCATCCCAGATTGGGACTGGACGAGACAGGGCGAGGGGAGGCGGTCAGAGGTCAACGCCCAGCTCCCATTGTCCTCGCTGGAGCCTGGAGCGAGCGCGGCTACGGACCACACCGGAACCAGTCCCTTCCTCTACTCCCCCCCTCCAAATTCTCCATAAACCTTCCCAGCACTCCTCCAATCACATGCCTCAAAGAACCTCTTCCTTCCTGGCGAGCAGCAGTCAGAGTCACGAGGAGTCAAACAGCAGCTTCAGTTTACTCACAATGGTTAAAAACACACAGCACCACACATCAGCATGCAGCAGCCACCTGCATGTTCAACCTCGGCTTCATATTCATGGTTAACGATTCAATGGAGCTCTCCGTTATCTTTGTGCCTCTCGTTGCCCCTGAGCAGACTCACATGGTGGAGGTATTTTTAAAAGCTAGCGACTTTCTCAAATGTCACATGCATCATATTAACATACCTGATTTCTCTTGTGCGGTGTCTTTCAGGAGGTGTGCACCGAACTGCGGCCGCGGCTGTGCCTGATCCAGAGAGGTTCTAACGGATATGGCTTCAACCTGCACAGCGAGCGGGCGCGGCCGGGCCAGTACATCAGAGCTGTGGATGAAGACTCTCCAGCAGAGAGGGCAGGCGTGCTGGCAAAGGACAGAATAGTACAGGTACTTTAATGAGGTCAACACTGGAGCACTGAGAGACCATACAGGGCTGTAAGACAGTATGAAGTGAGACATATAATTGGTTCTGGTGAGAGGATTTTCTAGTCTAGAGGACTTTGCACAGAGTTCGATACTGTGCACGAATGTAAAATCACATATGAAAATTAGCCCAACCGATGTAGATTTAGATATTAATGTCAAAACCGATATTAGGGGGTAAAAACATTCGGATACCAACATATTAGGTCAATATTTATGCTAAAATTTGGCAAAGATTCCTAAAATGTCGTTATCAAACCTTTATAACAAAGAAATGTAGCTGAGCCTTAATATTTTATAGTTTAACCATAAACTCTATTAAGAATAACTTTTTTAAAAAACAGTATGT